GCAGGGGCTGTGTAAGCTCGGCTCGGCCGGGGGCACCGACTTCAGCATGAAGCAGTTTGCTGAAGGGTCCACCCTCAAACTGGCCAAGCAGTGCCGGAAGTGAGTGTGCACCCCGAGGGGTCGGGTTGGGGGCCGGGCGGCTCCTGCAAGCCCTAGGACGCCCCGCCTCCGTCCTCTGCCTTGCCCCTCCCCCCTCCCGCCCCGCCCCCGTGCTCAAGGCGGTCCCCTGCCTGCGTGTGCAGATGGCTGTGCAATGACCAGATGGACGCGGGCACGCGGCGCTGGGCAGCTGAGGGCCTGGCTTACCTCACCTTCGACGCCGACGTGAAGGAAGAGTTTGTGGAGGACGGGGTGGCTCTGAAGGCGCTGTTCCAGCTCAGCAAGGTGGCCTGGGTCCCCGGGGTCCTCGTGAGATGCTGGCCAGCCGCCCGTGTGGCACGAGGGACGTCTGTGGGGGGGGCGGCGGGCGCGGCTGCGCTCAGTGTCCCCTCCGCTCTTGCAGTCGGAGGAGAGGTCGGTGCTCTTTGCCGTGGCCTCGGCACTCGTCAACTGCACCAACAGCTACGACTACGAGGAGCCGGACCCCAAGATGGTGGAGCTGGCCAAGTACGCCAAGCAGCCCGTTCCCGAGCAGCACCCTAAGGTGCGTGGCCCTGGGCGGGCAGGGCCCCCGCTGCAGCCGCCCCAGCGCCCTACTGCGAGGGCGGCCCTTTCCTGTCCTGCTAGCCGGGGTCCCCTCCCTTCCCCTCAGCTGCCTCCTTCCCCAGGACAAGCCCAGCTTTGTTCGAGCTCGGGTGAAGAAGCTGCTGGCTGCGGGCGTGGTGTCGGCCATGACGTGCATGGTGAGGGCGGAGAGCCCGGCGCTCACCAGCTCCTGCAGGGAGCTGCTCTCCAGGTGGGCCTTGGAGTGGGGACCCCCCAGTCCGAGGATGGGGTGTCAGTGTCTGCCTGCCAGTGCTCGGATCACCGCCCACACCCGCGTCTCCCTGCAGGGTCTTCCTGGCCTTGGTGGAGGAGGTGGAGGACCGTGGCACCGTGGTGGCCCAGGGCGGGGGCAAGGTAGGCGGGCACCGCGGGGCCTCCCGCCCCGCCACAGGCCCGGGCGGCTGTGGCCAGCAGTCGGGAGGGCGTGGCAGAGCCTTGGGACGGCCTGTGGGGGGAAGGGGAGGCTCCCTCCAAGTTGGGGTGGTCTTTTCCCTGCCCACCCGCCCGCCCGTGAAGTTTGAGCAGGGCCTGCTGCCAGCGGCTGGGAGCCAGGGTGGTCAGGCCCGGTGCCCACGCCTTGCTCCTGCAGGCTCTGCTCCCGCTGGCGCTGGAAGGCACGGATGTGGGGCAGACAAAGGCGGCCCAGGCGCTGGCCAAGCTCACCATCACCTCCAACCCCGAGATGACCTTCCCTGGCGAGCGGGTGAGCCCCTCCCCCCCACCCTCCCCCGCACACGTGCGCGGCTTCCTGCCTTGGCTGGGTCCTGGCCACTGCCTGGGTTCTTACTTGGGACCCAGAGGAAGTGGCAGCTTTGCTGAGCCCGCAGCGTGGAGGTGGCACCCCGTGGGTGGGCTCTGAAAGGGGGTGCACATTACAGATCTATGAGGTCGTGCGGCCCCTGGTCTCCCTGCTGCACCTCAGCTGCTCAGGACTGCAGAACTTCGAGGCCCTCATGGCTCTGACGAACCTGGCTGGGATCAGCGAGAGGCTCCGGTGAGTGGCAGAGGCACAGGGCCTGGCTGTGCGCCAGATTTGGACCATGCGCCCCCCGCCCTTCCCGGTTCAGCTACACAGAACCTCACACAACTCCCCTGCTGCCTACCGATGAAGAGACAGGCCGAGAGAGGCTACGGCGCTGAGTGAGAACGTTCCAGGCTTCCAAGCCAGACGGCTTGGGTTCAAGTCCTGCTGCACTGAACCCGCAGCCCCCAGCCCTGGCTTGCCCTCCCCCGTTCTGTCCACAGCCTCAGTGCCATGCCCGGCTGAGGGCTGCTCGAGGCTCTCTTTCTCCTCAGTTCGTGGAGTCCAGGCTGGAGGTGGTGGGGCGGAGGTGCCACCAGTGGTGTCCTGTCAGTCCACTCCTCTGCTCTGGTGGCTGCCGTCCCGAGCCCCTCCATTAGTCACCGATGAGCCCATGCCATCACGTTGCACCTGGCCGTGTGGTTCATACTGAGTCTGGTGCCCAGTGAGGTTAGGGCTGCAGGCTGCTCTCGTGCACTGCCGCCGCCCCTGCTGTTTCCTGGCCTTCTGGGCCGTGTCCGTTCCTGGGGCGGGGGTCCTTGACAGGGCTCAGGGCTCCGTCCCATGGGGTGTGAGCAGAGAGGCTGTGGGTGGAGGGGCCTGACCACGTTGCCCCTCCTCGGTCTGCAGACAGAAGATCCTGAAGGAGAAAGCTGTGCCCATGATCGAGGGCTACATGTTCGAGGAGCATGAGATGATCCGCCGGGCGGCCACGGAGTGCATGTGTAACTTGGCAATGAGCAAGGAGGTGAGAGTCGGGCCGGGGGTCCTGACGGGTGGGGACGCGGATGGCTCTGCCCTGACCGCCGAGTCCTCTCTTCATCTGGCCACAGGTGCAGGACCTCTTTGAAGCCGAGGGCAATGACCGGCTGAAGCTGCTGGTGCTGTACAGCGGGGAGGAGGACGAGCTGCTCCGTCGGGCGGCGGCCGGGGGCCTGGCCATGCTCACCTCCCTGCGGCCTGCGCTCTGCTGCCGAGTCCCGCAAGTGGTCAGTGCCGGTTCCTGGCCGGGGGGGGGGGGGGGGGGGGGGGGAGGGTGCAGGTTGGTGGGAGAGGTCCTAACCTGTTGGATGGCCACCCCTGCTGTTCCCTGCAGACCACACACTGGCTAGAGATCCTGCAGGCCTTGCTTTTGAGCTCCAACCAGGAGCTGCAGCACCGGGGCGCTGTGGTGGTGCTGAACATGGTGGAGGCCTCCAGGGAGATTGCCAGCACCCTGATGGAGAGCGAGGTGCTAGAGATCCTGTCCGTGCTGGCCAAGGGCGAGGGCGGCCCCGTCAGCAGGGCTGCTGCGGCCTCCCTGGGGAAGGCCATGGAGCACGGGCTCATCCAGCCGGGCCGGGCCGGGGAGTGAGGGCCCGGGCCCAGGGCCCTGCACGTGACTGTTGCAGCACTGAGGACAGAAGCGGCTTCACCTGACGGGCCTGCGATGCCGGACACTTGCCTGTTCTGCCAGCCACGCTTTCCCGTCCTCCGTTGTGAGTTAGGGACCACATTCAGTCACACGGCCCTGCCCTGCCTGCACTGCCTCCAGCCTGACCAGAGACTCGATTTGTGAACCTACTGTACAGCGTTGGGGAGGGGAGGGTGCATCCCAAACTCAGCCTAGGCACAGCAATCACCCTAGCAGTGTGAGTACCCCAGCAATAAAATGTGGGACAAAAATGCACATGCTCGGCTGGGAAGGTGGCTCAGTGGTAGAGCGCTGGCCTTGCATGCCTGAGGCCCTGGGTTCAATTCCTCAGCACCACATAAGTAAAAAAGAAAAAAAGCCGGAAGTGGTGCTGTGGCTCAAGTGGTAGAGGGCTAGCCTTGAGCTGAAGAGCTGAGGGACAGTGCCCAGGCCCAGAGTTCAGGCCCCACGACTGGACCCCCCAAAAAAAAATGCAGATGCTCTGTCTTTGGGCAAGGTGGGGCTGCCGAGGTGGTAAGCTTGCTTCTTAGCTGCTTTTGATAAAGGCTAGTGCTCTACCACTTGTGCCAAAGCTCCATTTCCAGTGTTTGGTGGTTAATTGTAGATGAGTCTAACGTGCTTTCCTGCCCAGCTGGCTCCAAACGCCAATTTTCCTGAGTAGCTAGGATTACAGGTGTAAGCCACCAGTGCCTGGCTTTGAATGCTTTTTTTTTTTTTTTTTTTGCCAATCCTGGGGCTTGAACTCTGGGCGTGGGGGCTGTCCCTAAGTTTTTTGTCTAAAGACTCTACCACTTGACGCCACTTCCGCTTTTCTGGTGGTTACGCTGGACTTGCCTGCTGGGGCTGGCTCAGAACCACCCTCCCCAGATCTCAGCCTGGTGAGTGGCCAGCTCCCCAGCTGTCAGCATGACGGCCCCGGCCCCGGCCCCGGCTCCCCGGCAGTCAGGATGGCGGCCCCGGGCCGGCGCTCAGCTTCAGTACTTATTTAATCTTGCAAGCTTTGGGTGACGCCCCCTCCCCGCGTGGGATTTGGGGTGCAGACAGCGCCCCAAGGCTTCCCTCCCGCGGAAAATCAGAAGCCGAGCCCTGGGGCGGGCGGCTCCGGAGTGGAGCGCCGAGCTTGGAGTCCATTGGCCTAGTAGGCGTGAGTGGCAGCGGCCCGGCCAATCAACCGAGGTGCCCTGGTGCGGCCTCTTCCTGGTTGGTCGTCAGTTTGCGCACAGTAGTACTCGGTTTCCGCTTCCCAGCCGGAAGTGAGCGCCGGAGCCGCAGGTCTCACAGGCTGCTGTGTCTCCCTCCTCAGCGGCTCTAGTCCCAGCCCCGCCGTCCTCTGGGCGTTTCGTTCCTCCTCAGACCGGTTCTCACTGGCTCAAACCCTCGCGCTTGGGCCGGAGCGGCGGCCGCGGTGAAGAGAGCCAGTCCGGGCCGCTCTGGGCCTGCGGCGGTGACGTCACCGCGGTCTCCGGTGATTGGCTGCGGGGAGGCCGCTGCGGCCAATGGCCGCCTGGCCCGGCGCGCGGCTCCTCGAACCTGGCGGCCGCTTGGGGCCGGAAGCGGCGCTCCGCGGACGCCGCTCGGCGGTCTGGAGTTTTCTCGAAGCCCCCTCGGAGGGCCTTGCCTGAGGGGTGGAGGCGCCGAGTCGAGACCAGCGACCCTTCCCCGGGGCTGAGCCCCCCGGCGTGGCGGGACGGCATCGGCTCGCTTGTGCGGGAGCGTAGGCCCGCGGCGGCCCTGCCCGGGGCGGCCGTCGTGGAGGCCGAGGCTGGGGAGTCCCGTGCCGGGCGGGGCCTCGTCCGCGCGAACGGCCGGGCCGGGCGTCGCCGACTCCTCCGCGTCCCCGCGTCCCCCGCGGCTCCGGACATGGCCGAGGGGCGTCCGGGGAGGTGGTTTGGCTTCGGTTTCTGCGGCTTCGGGCAGGCGCCGGGCTCGGGGCGCGGGCCCGCGGCGCTCCGCACCCCCGAGCCGCTGCGGACGGGCGGCGACCTGCGCCGCGTGAGCGCGAGCTGGAGCTACACCGCCTGCGTGACCCGTGAGCACGCGCCCGCCCGCCCCGGGGGCGCGGTCGGGGGGCCCCTCCGGCTCCTGCCCAACGCCGCCCTGTCCCCCGCGCAGGTGGCGGCGGCCTGGCGTTGTCCGGCGCGGTGAGCGGCGCCGCGCACGGCTGCCGCGACGCGTGGGCCTCGGAGGAGCTGCTCGTGGTGCTGCGCGCGCGGCCGGGCCTGGCGCCCGAGCTGCAGGCCTGGGCGCCGCGGTCGGCGCTGCGCGGGGAGCCCCTGTGGGCCCAGAGCCTGGCGCCCGCGGCCGACGGCGAGGCCGGCGCGCTGCCCCTGCTGCCCGGCGCCCGCGCCTACGTGAGCCCGCGGCCGCCCTTCCGCTGCGCCCTGGCCCCCGAGCTGCGCGCGCGCCAGCTGCACCTGGGCGCCGAGCACGCGCTGCTGCTGGGCGCCGACGGCCAGGTGTTCTCCTGGGGCGGAGGCAGGTGAGGCCCTGCGCTCACGCGCACACCTGGAGGGGCTTCTCCATGAGCCGAGCCGCAGCTCATGCCCGGCCCCCTGCCCCAGGCACGGACAGCTCGGCCACGGGACGCTGGAGGCGGAGCCGCAGCCGCGGCGGCTGGAGGCGCTGCACGGCCTGACCATGGTGGAGGCGGCGGCCGGCGGCTGGCACTCGGTCTGTCTGAGCGGTGAGTGGCTGTTCCGGCCGGGAGGCCCATGGCGGGCACCCTGGGCGAGGGTGGCGCTGACCCCACCGCCGCGGGGGCCACGGGGTGCAGCCGGCTCCTGCTCCCGGAGCCCGGGCGGGCCTGGCACTGCTCACCCAGAGACCCCAGTTCTTGGGTTAGGCTGGGAGCCAGGTTCGACTCTCTGGTGGAAGCTCCCCTCCGAAGGTTCAGGAAAGGCATCTGCAGCCCGAAGTGCCGAGGTGTCTGGCAAGGTGCCCTATCTTCAAGTCACCCCTTTATGAGCCCCAGCCTGGCCCCTCTGTGCCTCAGTGGGGATGCTGTGTGAAGGGGGACCCTGTCATCGTCTCCCTTCGGGACTACTGTAACGATTACATGGCTGCCTTTGAAAAGCGTCGGCACTCTTGTAATCCCAGCAGAGGTGGGGTCAGGAGAATCATGAGTTCAAGGCCAGTCCTGGGCTGTGAGAGGATGACCCAAAGTACCAGCAGGGTTTGGGTGGAACCCAGTGGCAGATCCCCTGTCCAGGGATTGCCAGAGCCTGGGCGCAGGAATCGCACACATGAAAGCCCAGCCCAGAGGGGGCACTGAGTGCATGAGCGCAGCGCAGGGAGAGCGAGGTCAGAGCCAAGGACGCCGGGCCCACGGACAAAGAAAATGGAGGTCCAGCCAAGTGCAGTGTCAAGGCGCACGCCTGGAGTCCCAGCCACAGGGGAGGCCGAGGCAGAAGAGCCTGTTGAGCCGCTGCCTGGCTGACCAGAAGGGAACCTAGGCGGAGATGAGGAGGCTGCGGTGCACACCGGGCGGGTGGGTGGCGGGCTGGCTGTGCTTGTTGCTGAGGGCAGCAGCTCTTCTCTCACAGAGACCGGCGATGTTTACATCTGGGGCTGGAATGAGTCAGGGCAGTTAGCGCTGCCCACCAGGAGACTGGCAGAGAAGACAGCCCCCGGGGAAGGTGAGTGGCCCTACGGTGAGTCGTCCTGGGCTGTGAGCTGGGCCAGGCCACTGCACACAGGAGCGGGAGGCATCCCCGCTGGGGCGCACACAGCAGCTCGGAGCTCCTGCAGCGAAGCCTGCCAGCCCTGTGGAACGTGGGAGTTCTGGTGCGCTCAGTGCTCCGCATCACTGTAACCACGCTAAACCCCAGGAGGTGGAGATGGCGCCGACGCGAAGGGAGGAGCCAGCACTGAGGATGGAGCCCCGGCCACCTTCATAGCTGTCCAGCCCTTCCCCGCCCTACTGGACCTTCCCCTGGGCTCTGAGGCCATCAAGGCCAGCTGTGGGTCCCGGCACACGGCCGTGGTAACGCGTGAGTGGGGCTCGGGACGGGGCTGGAGGGCTGCAGAAGGGGGTGTGGCCGCCCAAAACATCACCCTCATTTTGCTTTTTTTAAGTTGAGAATAATTCCGCCACGTGGTCTAGGGTAGCCTTACCCCCCGCGCTTCCTGGACCCTCCTGGGTGCTGGGAAGGTGACCAGCGTCCCCAGCAGAAACTGCCCTGTGTGTGCATGCCAGAGCTGGGTTTTGCACCAGGACCTCACACTCTGCTTGCTACTTGGAGGTTCTCTTTAAGTAGAGTTGCCATTAAACAAAGCAGCTTGTAGCTGGGCGCTGGCGGCCCAAACCTGTAGTCCTAATTACTCAGGAGGCTGAGAGCTGAGGATCACAGTTCAGAGTCAGCCTGGACAAGAAAGTCCACGAGACTCATCTCCAACAAGCCACCAGAAAAGCAGAAGTGGTGCCTGGCTCTACTACTTGAGCCACACCTCTGGTCTGGCATCCTGCTGGCTCAAGTCTGGAGGACATTCTGTCCGGGCGGGTGGACCTTAGTGCGCAGACCCGGCGCTTGCTCTGTAGCCAGGCTGGCCTGATCTCACAGCACCCGGCCCCAGCCTCGGGTGCTGGGATTGCAGGTGTGTAATCTCAGCCAGCCAACACGTAAAAGTAATAGCTCCCAGCTGTCGGGCCCAGAAGGTTCTTCCCTGTAGGAGGCTAACAAGGACATCTTCCGCACACAGACACAAATGTGAAGTGTACAGCCCACTTCAGCAGCTGTGTGGTACGGGACGGTCCCCTGGTGCAGCTGGATCCTTTGCCAGCCCCAATGTGACAGTGGTCACGGGCCCGTGGTGCTCTGTGTGCAGCCTCAGATGGATTGGGCCTTGCTGGAGTGTGTAGGGCTGGGCCAGGCAAGGGTCCTGGGGCGCACAAGCAAGTGTCGCTTTGTCTCTGCTTGCAGGAGCAGGGGAGCTCTACACCTGGGGCTGGGGTAAGTGAACACTGCTATGGTGTCCTTAAGGTGGGGACAGGACTGGACTGTGGGTGACTGACGCACAAAGACTCGCAGGCCACAGGCCGTGGGCTAAAGACAGGGCTGGGCACGTGTCCCCAGGAGGGTGCGGAGCTCTGTGCTGTCCAGGCAGCACAGCGGCCCAGGGAAGGGGCAGGGGAGGCGGGCGGGGGGGGGGGGGGGCGAGGGGGGGATGGCAGCGGCCCTCCTTCTACTTCAGGTAAATACGGACAGCTTGGCCATGACGACGGCGCCAGCTTGGACCAGCCCCGGCGGGTGAAGTACTTCGTGGACAACCAGCTCCACGTAAGAGCCGTCACGTGTGGGCCTTGGAACACTTACGTGTACACAGTGGAAAAGAGGAAGAGCTGACATCTGTGCGGGTGTACATCTGTGTTCTTTAAATCCCCTATAAAGAAGCGCACAAAGCAGACTAGTGAAGTGCCGCGGACCGGCTCTGTCGGGACGACGGAGGACACCTAGTGGAGGAACTGGAATAGGTGGGGAGATGGCAAACAGACAACTCACACACAAGAGGAGTGGATGCTGAGTGCGATTTAATGCAGAGGATGACAAGCTTTTATAGCAAAAGTCTCCATGGGAAAGGGCAAAAGGTTGCACAATCTTGCTGCAGGGCTTCATTCTTGAGTGGTCACCAGCTGGTCTCCTGATAGGCACTTGTTTCCGGCTTTACCTCTATTTTTAAGAAATACAATGGGGGGGCTGGGAAGGTGGCTCAGTGGTAGAGCGCTTGCCTTGCACACATGAGGCCTTGAGTTCGATTCCTCAGCACCACATAAGCAAAAAGAAAAAAAAAGCCGGAAGTGGTGCTGTGGCTCAAGTGGTAGAGCGCTAAGCCTTGAGCTGAAGAGCTGAGGGACCGCGCCCAGGCCCAGAGTTCAGGCCCCACCACCGGACCAAAAAAAAAAAAAAAATACAATGGATTTCGATGTTTATCACCAATTAACCATTACTTTTTTCTATAGAGGCCTTAACTGTCCCATAAGATCTTTCCTGTTCCTTCTTTAATAGTAAGCACCAAGGAGGCCTAGATCCAGCAAGTCTCTTAGTAAATGAAAGAGAGAAACAGGAAGTTCTTTCTCCTAAGTAGTTATCTCAGCAATTGCCATACATTCTTTCTGTTCTGGCCGCGCCTACAGCTTCTTGTAAATCTCTTTCAAACAATTCCTTCTGCTGAAGTGACATCATGAAACCCCCAATACTTTTATATTTACTTATGACTTGTCTACTAGCCTCCATAAGAGGGGTTTCAGGGTAGCACTTAACTCTGGTGAGTTTGTCATATTTTTAAGACACTCATCAGATATTGGAGTCGTCAACACTCTTAAGAGCCTTGAATAAGGGAACGTTGAGCATGAGTAAGTACAATGAGCAGCAGGAACAGTAAAAGTTTAATAGGTACTCCTATACAGTGAAGAAAAGAAAAACAAGCACATCTTTCCCAGGGGCTTGCCAGCGTTTCCAGGAGGTAGGCCTCTTTGAAGCCCCATTCTCTGAGGTAGACTTCGGTGAAGTCCCATTCTCAGAGATAGGTCTCTGTGAAGCCCCATTCTCAGGTCTGAAAGCAGGTTTCCCATGCTAAGCAGACTCCACCGGAGTAGGCGTGTCTGCCACTCCGTGCCAGCCACACGCACTCCTGCCACGTCTGCTGAGCATCAGGGTTCCCGGGATCTCTCTACTCTGGGGGCTGGCACGCCCCACCTTGGCGCTGCAGGCGATGGTGGGTACAGCCTGTGGGAGCCTCAGGTGTTTTGATTTCAGGCGTGAGCCACCTGCACCCATCCTAGAGGTGTCATTTGCTATATTTTCACTTAGAACTTTGCCACTGATTTTAGTTTGTGTGGCTTTGAGTAGCAGGTAAATGGATACTCTTTGTTCCGGCAGTGCTGAGTTTGAACTTGGGCCTTGCTCTGGCATGCCAGGCGCGCTCTGCCTCTATACTTCTGTGTTGTATAACTGTCTACGTTGTGGCCTGGAACATTATGTATATACATACATATATATATATATATAAAATACATACATATATATATACAAAATATATATATATATATATATAGTTCCCTACCCCCCCCCCCCAAGTCCTGGGGCTTGAACTCAGGGCCTAGGCACTGTGTGTTCAAGGCAAGCACTCTACCACTTGAGCCACAAGCCACTTCCAGTTTTCTGGTGGTTAATTGGAAATAAAAGTCTCATGCAGGGGCTGGGAAGGTGGCTCAGTGGTACAGTGCTTGCCTTGCATGGATGAAGCCCTCCCTCAGTGCCACATAAGCGGGAAAAGCCGGAAGTGGTGCTGTGGCTTGAGTAGTAGAGCGCTAGCCTTGAGCTGAAGGGCTCAGGGACATTGCCCAGGCCCGAGTTCAAGAAAGTCTCAGACTTTCCTGCCTGGCTGGTGTTCGGCCGCCTTCCTCTAAGCACCACACCGGCCATTCTAGTAGTTTAGAGATGAAAACGCACATCACATTTGCAGGTGAAGTCCAGTACATCTGCGTGGCTTTGTTCATTGGTGATGGGAGTTGTTTTGGTTTGAGACAGGTGTCACATGTAGGCTGGGGTCTTATTTCAACCTCCCAAGTGCTGGGATTATAAGCATGTTCCACCACGCATGGCTGGGAGCTTTTGTTGTAAAGTGTCTTTTCAGGTTTTATTTTCTGGCATAGATTTTTCCTTCCCGGCTGGTTTTGAGCCACTTTCCTGAGATCTCAGCCTTCTGAATTGCTAAAATTGTAGTTGTCGACCACAGGCCCCTGACTGGGTGCGTTTTTGGCTTCTTTTCCCCGAGGCTATTGCACATTTTATGGAATTGTTTTCCCGATTTTCCCGTCTGCTCACTGGTGTGCAGAAAAGCTACTGATGTTTGTGGGGGTTTTTTTTGGTTGGTCATGGGGCTTGAACTCTTGCTACGCAGGTGATGTACCAGGTGAACCACATCTCCAAACTTTGGTTCTTTAGCTGATATTTATATTTTCTTTCAATGACTCATGCCTGTTTCTTTGGATGATTTTTAACATTTGAATCTTACATTCTTTTCACATTTCTAGCTTTTATTATAAGACATCTGCATGCAACCAGCTGTGTGATAATGTAAGGTGTCTGGGCCTTCTTTTGGGGAGGGGAGGGAGTGGTCATGGGGCCTGAGCGCTGTCCCTCAGCTCTTCAGCTCAAGGCTAGTGCTCTACCGTTTCAGCACAGCACCACTTGCAACTTTTTCTGCATGTGTGGTGCTGAGGAATCAAACCCAGGGCCTTATGCATGCAAGGCAAGCCACCCTCCCAGCCCATTCTGGGGCCTGCAACTTTCCCTCCCCACCCCTTTTCTTGGTGTTAGTCCTGGGTCTTGACCTCAGCTTGGGTGCTAACCCTGTTTTGTGCTTCAGGCTAGTACTCTACCAACTGAGCCATAGCTCGACTTCCAGTTTTGGGTGGGTAATTGGAGATAAGGGTTTCCCAGACTTTACTGCCCAGGCTGGCTTTGAACTGCAGTCCTCAGCCTGTACCTAGGATTTCAGGGATTTCAGGCATGAGCCACCAGTGCTCAGCTCAGGAAGAAATGTTGGCCCCTTTTTCTTGAAGGGTTCTCATGCATTGTCTGGAGTGGTGTTAGTGTCACAACTCCCCCCCCCCGCCCCCCCCAAGTGTTGGCCTTAGGGGTGTGTGCCTTCATGCCGGATCCTTTTAAGGAAAATTGTGGGCATATAAAAATCATAACCAAAAGGACATAAACTTGCTTTAGTCAACAGGCCAAACACCACAAATAACTGATTTGAGGAAAAGTGACATCACAATGTGTATTTTTGAAAGGTAAAGTATACATTTTATTTTAAAAACATATGTCTATATATATCTATTAAAACAAGATTATATACCTCACTAGAGAGGCTGACATCATGGACCAGGTCAGCACAGGTCAGCCTTCGGGAAGCAGGTGGTGTACTGACAGCAGTAGTGCAGGCAGGGCAGGAATAAATAATAGTGTCTTGGGAGGGGTCCACCCCTGGGTGCAAGTGCAGGAACAGCTCCCTAGTGGGTAGCGTGTGCAAAGCTGCTGGGGTGGGCTGAACCCACTGTCCAGGTGTGGCGTGCTACCTCCCCTCAGCAGACTGTGGCGACAGCAAAGTTACCAGTAGCTACACAATTAGTCAAATAAGTTGCTAATTATACAACAAGCATGGTAATTAATAATTATACAAGCTAACCAGAAAATTACTTCACGTACCTACGATAACAAGCTCTCGGTCATGCCTCTAGTAAGAACAATGCGACAGAAAAAGTCCCAGATACTACATTTGTACTCGGACGTGACCAGGTTTTACAGGGTCTTGGGTGAAACCCAGTCCTGTGGCCGTCCACTCACATCCCTAGAACCTGTCTGGGTTCCCCTGTTCATCACCAGTCTAGGAATAGGAATGCAGAGCCGGCCACACGGTCAGCGCTCCTCAGGAGTAAATGTTGGTTGAATTGAGGATTCGAGAATCAGCATCAGATTTGGAGGCTTTTGAGAGTTCCCGCTGTTGAAAAGCAAGTGATCTCAGGTTAGGACCGGCAGGTGCGGCCCTCACCCTCCACTAGGCAGACTGAGCGTGTGCACACGCATGCTCCCGTTGATTGCCACAGCCGGGCATGCTCTTAAACTCCCCATCAGAAAACCCCTCTCCAAAGCTACATGATATGCTTTACTTTGAGCCCCTGATAAACCAGTGGGCCAGCTCAGGCTGTTTGTCTACCGACCGCTGGGGTGAGGGCCTTGAGGCCTGCTGGTGCTTTGTTCTCCTGCCTGAGCGCACCATGCAGACAGAGGAGAAAAGGCAGGAAGGACAATCGCGAGCAGTTAGTGTGAACATCGAAGACCGGCAGAGGCGGCGTGTTCAAGCCCTCCATCAGGGAAGTGAGCGGGCTCTGGCTGTGCCCTCCTGGCAATATGCTCCCTACCCTGTAAGGTGCGCCCCACATCTCAAGCGCAGTTAGGGTCAGCAAGGGAGGCAGCCTGGGCTTCACCGTCTCCCGTGGAGGGTGAGTGAGGCAGCCTGGGCTCCAGGGCTGGAGGCCGTGGAGGCCAGTGTGCCACACATCTGTATCTAGTGCCCCACGTGTGGTTAGCCACGGTGTTAGAGTTGAGCGAAGGCAGCCTCAGTAGACAGAACAGCCCCCCAGCGCCAAGGGGTTAGTAGTGCAGACTCCGGCATAAGCAGCACCCAGGCCAAGAGCCTCAAGATCAGCAGCACACAGCTGGGGCCTCCCTCCCGTTGTCAGCACATCCCAGGTCTTTGATAACCACAGGTGGAAAGGGTGAAGGCTTCTCAGGTCTGAGGCTGCCTGCCACTGAGTGGGGCTGAGAATGCAGTTGAGGTTTCCTTACTGCTCTGCCCATGCCAGCCGACGGCAAACACGAGCCACACACTCACCTTCTTTGTTCACCGTAAGCACTGTCACCTCCTCTGTGTAAAAAGCGTCTGTGGTTAGTGTACTCGTGGCCCAGACGGGAGTGAAGGCAGATGACAGATCAGTTTGGAAAAGGGATGTGGGGCATGCGGGAATTGCTATACAGACCTGAAGCCCAACAGCAGAGCTGTCAGAGAGGGGTGGCTCCTTCTAAGAACAAAGAACGAGGACAATTACCAAGAACTCCACACCAAGCAAGCACCAGGGCAGTGAAATGTGGTCTCCCTGCAGCCAGAGAGCAGTGTAGCTCAAGCAGGACCTGGTCTGCAGCCTTCAAGCCACCCATCCTCACCACCATCAAGGCAGGAAAGGAAGGGTCGGCCTCCAGGTTGCCTGTCCTGAACAAACAAACAGCCTGGGGGTCCCTTGGGAAGACGCCTACTGTGCCCCAACTGTGTGCTCCCCAGAGACTGGTAGAGTTTAGAAAAGTGAATTACCGCAAACTCAGAATAGGTGCTGGCAACAGAATTAACGCTGAAGTTGCGCTGCAGGGGGGCCGAGTCAGGGTACCCACCGCTCAGGAAGCTGCCGTTGAGCTCCACGTTCTCCTTGTTGGCCCCATGCCTGCCAGCACGAGGCGTTTTCTTCCCGGAACAGGTAGAAGACATAACTGGCTGGAAAGACGGGAAAGACAGCCATAAATCACTTACACTGAATGCACAAAACCCCTACACTGCTCAGTGGACTTCTGGACATAAAGTCTCCCTGCACACTCACCCTGGCCGGCTTAGCAGAACCGCTCTGCCCTGCTCTCCTGAGTGTGGGACTGTACTGAGACTGTTGCTACGTGGGAGTGAGCCCAACCCAAGTTCAGCTTCCCCAGCACAGTGATCTGCCAACTCCACCTCTCGGGCCTCTGGGTGAATGTGAAGATGTCCTTCTACAGTGTACTGACCTTGCTGCCAGAAGGAGGAAGTCGAGACATTGGGGAGCGATACATCGTGCCCCCAAAGACGGGCCGAAGGCTGCTGTTGGCTGTAGCATTGGACATGGTGGTCGTGTTCAGCTAAGGAGAAGCAAAGATCCAAGCGTGAGAACAAGTGGGTGGGCAGGTGGGTCCTCCTGTGCCCAGGCCCGCCCCTGCAGGTGCTGCTGCTGCTCTAAACCCCAGAGATAGGGCGCCCCACGCAGGCCACTCCCTGCTACTTGAGCCACACGCAGCCCCAACTGCTTTACATTTAGATTATTTTCAGTTCATTAATAGGAAAGCTGTCAGCAGCTGACCAGGAATCCTGCCTGTCCAGAGCTATCAATGTAGTTAAGAGAAACATCTGAAGGGCTCTTCATCCTAACGTGTTGGAAACCATTGGTCCCTAACTGCATTTAACCCAAGAACTTAAGCCGGCACACACTAGAGCTGGGGCTGGAAATCCCGCCCGCCCCCCGACATGAAACTAGACTCGTGGGACAGAGAGCAGGGAGGCCACGCAGGGCCTTGGGGCCCGAGGGAGAACGAGGGCTTCACCTTGCGCACTTTGCCAGGTGTGTTCGGGGTGAGTCCTCTCCGCTTGGATGTGCGGGGAGTGCTGCCGTAGAGCATCTCCTTCTCCGTCTGTTTCTTATTCTTTAATTGCTGTGTGAAAAAGTAAGGAGCAGCCAGGGTGAGGCCCCAAAGATGTCTCAGAGCCTGGGCTTCGGGAGCTCTATTCAGGCCCCGCCCTGCGCAGCAATGGGCCACCCACAACCACCCTCTTCACACACTTACCCGCTCCTGCTTGGCTTGCTCTTTCTCCAGCAGATGTAGCTGCCACTGCTCCGCCACATAGTCCATGAAGCTCTTCCCATTCACCACAAAGGACTTTGAATGCTCCCGCTCCCACATTTCAATCTGGGCCTTCAACTCCTCTTCCAGCTGAGACCAGAAACAATGACGTGTTAACTACTTCAACTTTGGTGTGACCCCCAAATGAATGGTTACCCTAAAGAATGAATGTTGGCACAACATCAGGACACTGGCCCACGTGGAGGAGGTCAGAAGTGACAATCAAGGCCAGGAGGGTTCCTTCCCAGCACACTAAGGAAACACCCACCACCTCAGGGTCTGAATACCAACGCTGTTCTTTGACTGAGACAAAATGTTACTGCCCAGGCAAGCCTCACATTCACAGTGCTCCTGCCTCAGACTCCTGAATGCTGGGATGATAGGAGTGTTGTGCCAAGTCTGACTCAAACCAGTTTTTGATGCCTAAAGTGAGCGTTCACTGGGAAGGTGAGCAGCGTTTTGAACAGGGGTATGAGCTGAACCATTTGGGGTGCAATATGGAGCTTGTACTTGTACCGGCTGCGAGAAAATTACTTTCCAGCACCTGATTTCTGTAAAATCAGAACTATTATCTATCTCTAAGGAAAGTGACAGTTATAGGAATAAATAAAACACTATGAAATAGTTTCAGAAACGAATCAATAAATACGATTACTAAAAACAGTAATGAAGGGTCTGTAAGCGAGCCTGGTCTTCTTACAGGCTGACTTTGTGTCCAGCCTTCATGGCCCCCTAGACCTCAGAATGTGGCTGTCGGGAGAAAGGCTCTTTGAAAGGGGTTTGACGAAATGAGGCGGTCGAGACACAGCTGGAGTGAAGACAGGCTAGCTACAACGCAGACACCGGTCTGTCAATGACACCTTCACTCACACTTCCAGAACAAAGACAAAGCTGGCATCCCTTGCGCAGCCCACCCAGTCTGTGGTGCTTGTTCCCGCAGCTCTCGCAAATGGGTACACTCACACAGCAGCTGCCGTTCCACTTCAACCCCACCCAGCAGGCAGTCTCAGGGGGAAGGGGACACAGAAACAGGCCCGGAGGGCGGAGCTCGGAGGTAGAGCTCTGGCACTATGTGAAGCTAGATTTGATCCACACAACACACAAAAAAACCCATCAGAACAGTATTACCTTCGGGAGTGTTTTCTGGAGTTTGGCTCTCTGTTTTTCTTCTTTTAAAAGATTTCCTCCTCTGTTTGTAAATCGACTTGGATCTGAAGCTTTTCTCTGTGAAAAGTATGAAATTCATTCATTCATTCATTCATTGTGCCAGTCCTATAGACTGAGCCGAAGCCCAGTGCTGTCCCTGAGCTTTTTTTTTTTTTGCCACAGCTAGCACTCTACTTGACCACAGCTCCATTTCTAGTTTGTTTTTTAGTTGTGGTTGGTGATGTTAATTGAATTTAGAGTCTTAAGGACTTTCCTGCCCAAGCTGGAAGATCTCATCTTCCTGAGTAGCTGGGATTACAGGTATGAGCCACCAGTCCTGACTGAAAAATACAGCTTTATTAGAATAAAATCTAGATTAGATGGGCCAGTGGCTTCTGCTAGGATTCCTTGTTCTGATGAAACAGAACACGTTACTAACATGACTGAGCTCTGCAGTCTGTCTCCTCTCAGCAGTGAGCAGCACTGTCCCCCCAAGCCAGGGTACCTCCCAGCCATGGGCACAGCCACCCACTGGTGTACAAGAACACGAGTTCCTTTTCATCTAAAAAGGAAGTCACGCCAGGCGCCGGTGGCTCACGCCTGTAATCCTAGCTACTCAGGAGGCTGAGATATGAGGATCGTGGTTCAAAGCCAGCCCAAGCAGGAAAGACTGTGAGACTCCTATTTCCAGTAAACCACCAGAAAACCGGAAGTGGTGCTATAGCTCAAGTGGTAGAGCGCTTGCCCTGAGCTGAGGAGCTGAGGGACAGCGCCCAGGCCCAGAGTTCAAGGCCCAGGACCGACAAAAAAAAAAAAAAAAAAAAGAAGTCACAAGTCAGCAGCAGCCCGCCATGTCCATGACTGTGCTCCATCCCTGGCTTCCCCTTAAATACAAAATACTTTCATTAGATTACATTGGTTATAAATCAAGTACTACTAAAAAATGGGAGAAGAATATAAATCATTTTTGACTTTTGGAAATCAAATGTGAAAGAATTATTTCCCTTCCAGATATCAGAAGCCTGGTAAAGAAGAAAGGAAACGGATTTTTTTGTGTGTTCCAGTACTCAGGGCCTGTGTTTTGGTTTTTTTTTGGTCGATCAAGGCGCTTGAACTTGAACTCTGCCTGGGCGCTGTCCCTCAGCTCTACGGCTCAAGGCGAGCTCTCTACCACTTGAGCTACAGCGCCACTTCTGGTTTTCTGGTGGTTTATTGGAGATAAGTGTCACGGTCTTTCCTGCCCGGGCTGGCTTTGAACCGTGATCCTCAGATCTTAGCCTCCTGAGTAGCTAGGATTACAGGCGTGGGCCACTGGTACCCGGCTGTGGGCCTGTGTTTTTTTGATCAAGGCTAGCACTCTACTACCTTGAGCAACAAGCTTTACTTCTGGCTTTTTTTTTTTGGCAGTTCATGGAGAAGAGTCTCACAAATTTGCTGCCTGGCTGGCTTCACACAGTGATCCTCAGATCTTAGCCTCCTAAGTAGCTAGGATTACAGGTGTGAGCCACTAGTGCCCAGCTTTCGTTTTTTTGTATTTTTGAGACAAGGTCCATGTTGGCCTAGAATTCACAATCCTCCTGCCTCAGCTGGGGTCAGGGCATGCTTTATTAATGCTTCATTTCACTCTGGAAAAAACAGAAATTAGGGAAGTACCTCAAATTCTAAGAAGAGCTTCCAGCTCTCTTCCCACTTATGAACACCTTCAAAGAGTTCCTTGTGAGCTTCATAGTAGTTTTTTAACCGTACAACCTCAGCATCATGTTGCTGCAGCAGGTTTTCTGTAAAATTATCTGCAACAGACACACCCAGCAGTTTAAAATCAAGGAGTAGCTAGGTAGTAGAGCTGTTGCCTAGCCTGTATGACATCCTGCTTTCTAAACCCATCACCACAAAAAACAAAACGAACAAAAGCCAGACATGATCAGCTGCCAGGGACTGAAAGGATTCTCTAAAATCTGTCCATCTCCTGTCTTGTCTCAGGGTTGTTTCATATTCTTTCTTTCTGCCTTGCTTAGACAACAGAAGCACGGGTCAGGGAACTGCCTAAATTTGAACTGTTAAGTTCAACTCATAGTGACCTGGAGTTCCAGGGGCTTTGTGAGTTAGACTTCTTTGGGTGCAGACATATATTTACCTGCTGTATGCCTCCAGGTTAGGCTGCTACAAACAAGAAGCCTAAGGCCCTGAATTCAAACCCAGCACTGGGAAATAAAACCCAGTCAAAATGTACTTAGTGTTCTTATGTCTTTTTTTTTTGGTCGGTCATGGGGCTTGAACTCTGGGCCTGGGCGCTGTCCCTCAGCTCTTCAGCTCAAGGTGAGCACTCTACCGCTTGAGCCACAGCACCACTTCTGGTTTTCTAGTGGTTCATTGGAGGTAAGGGTCTCACGGACTTTCCTGCCCAGGCTGGCTTTGAACTTAGCCTCCTGAGTAGCTAAGATTACAGGCGTGAGCCACGGGCACAAGGCTAACAGAGATTTCTGAGAGTTGGGTAAGTCTATTCAGAAAAGGAAACAATTTTCTGGTGAAGATTTGGGCTTACAACTGTCAGTGAGCAGACCATGAACTCACCAGCATAGTAGGGGGAAAAAGCCTGTCTCTGTTCCAGGCTGTAAAAACACTGGTCCCAATACTGAGCCACTTCTGCTCGAACGGCCTCAATCACTTTCTTCAGGTTTTGCATTTTTAACTCTTCTAACCGATCCACTTCTAATCGCAGCTGAAAAAAACATGAATTAAATGTGGTCAGCATATTTTTTATTTTCATGGAGATTTATAGAAGTTTCTCCTTGTTTTCAATAAAATTACAACACAAAGCCACAGAAGTAAATCAACATAATTAGTAGTAATGACATATACAGAAGGCAGAAATCTAAGAAGATAAAAAGCAGCAGCTAGGTGCCTGTCATCCTAGCTACTCAGGAGACTTAAGACCTGAGAATCGTAGTTCAAAGCCCAGGCAGGAAAAGTCCTTGAAACTTTTTTTTTTTTTTTTTGGGTCAGTCATGGGCCTTGAACTCTGGGCCTGGGCGCTGTCCCTCAGCTCTTCAGCTCAAGGCGAGCGCTCTACCACTTGAGCTACAGCGCCACTTCCGGTTTTCTGGTAGTTTATTGGAGATAGGAGTCTCACGGTCTCTCCTGCCCGGGCTGGCTTTGAACCGTGATCCTCAGATCTCAGCCTCCTGAGTAGCTAGGATTACAGGCGTGAGCCAACAGCGCCCGGCGTCCTTGAAACTCTTATCTCCAATAAACCACCAGAAAACCAGAAGTGGTGCTGTGACTCAAGTAGTGAACACTAGCCTTGAGCTGAAGGGCTGAGAGACAGTGCCTAGACCCGGAGTTCAAGCCTCACAACCGACAAAACAACAAAAACAAGCAGGCCATCTTTTTTTTTTTTTTTTGGTCGGTCGTGGGGCTTAAACTCTGGGCTTGGGCACTGTCCCTGCACTCTTCAGCTGAAGGCTAGCACTCTACCACTTGAGCTACAGCGACACTTCCGGTTTTCTGGTGGTTTATTGGAGATAGGAGTCTCCAGGTTTCTGCTGCCCAGGCTGGCTTTGAACTGCGATCTTCAGATCTCAGACTCCTGAGTAGCTAGTATCACAGGCAAGAGCCACCAGCCCCGGCAAACAGGCCATCCTTTGCTGTTCCCCAATGTAGAAGGTGGGGAGGATATCTTACAGAAGAAAGACTGTTATACAATACCCACTACATTTCTTACCGCTTTCCTGATGTTGGCCTTTGAGCCGGTCATAAAAGTATTCATGGCTTTTCTCTCCTCCTCAGGTATCTGCAGCCTAGCCCAGAGCTCTTGGATTTGCACACGTAGCCCCTCACACAATGCTTCATTCTGTGACTTGCGCATTTCCAGCTATAGCAAGAAAAAGCATTACTTGAGAACATTCACATAGAAAGACTGGCCTTCTGGCCCTCCCAGAAAAAAGTTTAGATTCTCACAGAGAGGAAGTTCTTTCACCTGTTTTTTTGTTTATGTGCCAGTACTGGGGCTGGCACTTAGGATCTGTCCCTTAGCTTTTTCATTCAAGGCTGTTGCCCTATCAGTTGAGCCACAACTCTACTTCTGGTTTTTTGGTGGCTAAGAAAAAGAACCTCATGGACTTTCCTGCATGGACTGGCTTCCAACTGAAATCCTTAGATCTTGGCTGAGCACTAGGATTCCATGCATGAGCCCTTGGCACCAATCTTTTTTTTTTTGGGTCCGGTCGTGGGGCCTGAACTCTGGGCCTGGGCACTGTCCCTCAGCTCTTCAGCTCAAGGCGAGCGCTCTACCACTTGAGCCACAGCACCACTTCCGGCTTTTTTTCTTTTTCTTATGTGGTGCTTGGGAATCGAACCCAGGGCCTCATGCATGCAAGGCAAGCACTCTACCACTGAGCCACCTTCCCAGCCCCTTCTACGCAGTTCTAAAAGACATGATTAGGTGCCTCTGAACACAACCTGTAAGGCTGTCAGGATTTAAGATTAGAATTCAGATTTTGAGTTGAACTTTTTTTTTCCATTTAACCCTTAGTTCAGATAGCTGATAATACTTCATTTGAAATTTCAACTGAATGTTACAAATTTAATAGTTCTTATCTATATACAAATTGAGCGTTTGTTTTAGAGGAACTGATGTTTAAATTCAGGGACATGCCCTCTGCTAGACAGGTGTTCTAAAACTTGAGCCATGCTATGAATATAGCCATGCTATGGATATGGATATACATGAGTACAGTGGTACTCAGGTTCAAGATTCAGGTTTAAGGACTGGGAAGGCGGCTCAGTGGTAGAGCACCTGCCTTGCATGCATGAGGCCCTGGGTTCAATTCCTCAGCACCACATAAGCAAAAAGAAAAAAGCCAGAAGTGGCGCTGTGGCTCAAGTGGTAGAGCGCTAGCCTTGAGCTGAAGACCTGAGGGACAGCGCCCAGGCTCAGAGTTCAGGCCCCACGACCGAACCCAAAAAAAAAAAAGACTGAAGAAGCGGCTGGGAAAGTGGCTCAGTGGTACAGTGCTTGCCTTGCATGCATGAGGCCCTGGGTTCAATTCCTTAGCACCACATAAGCAGAAAAAGCCGGAAGTGGCGCTGTGGTTCCAATGGTAGAGTGCTAGCCTTGAGCCGAAGAGCTCAGGAACAGTGCCCAGGCTGAGTTCAGGCACCACGAAAGACTGAAGAAAAAGCTAGTCTGACACTCAAGGCTTATGCCTATAATCCTGCTACTTAGGAAGCTGAGATCTGGAGGATTTGATCAAGGCCAGCCTAGGCAAAAAAGTTTCCTACACTCCATCTCCAAAATGACCAGCCGAAAGCAAGACTGGAAGCAAGGCTCAAGCAGTGGCATATGTCAGCAAGTGTAAGGCCAAGTTCATTTTTTTTATTATTTTTATTATAAAGGTGACATACAGAGGGGTTACGGTTGCGTGAGTCGGGTAATGCACTGTACCACTTAAAAAAAAGAGTTGGCTGGGCACTTGTAGCTTACACCTGTAATCCTAGCTATTAGGGAGGCTAAGATCTAAAGATCGTGACTCGCCGGGCACTGGTGGCTCACGCCTGTAATCCTAGCTACTCAGGAGGCTGAGATCTGAGGATCGCGGTTCAAAGCCAGCCCGGGCAGTAGAGACCATGAGACTCCTATCTCCAATAAACTACCAGTAAACCGGAAGTGGCGCTGTAGCTCAAGTGGTAGAGCGCTCGCCTTGAGCTGAAGAGCTTAGGGACAGCGCCCAGGCCCAGAGTTCAAGCCCCACGACCGACAAAAAAAAAAAAAAAAAAGATCGTGACTCAAAGCTAACCCAAGAGGAAGACAAACCCAATCCACATCTCCAGTTAACCAGGAAAAAGTCATGCGTGAAGCTGGGTTCCGGTGGTTTAGACCTGTAAATCCAAGCTGAGATCTGAACATCATGATTTGAAGCCAGCCTGGGCATACAAATCAGGATAGACAAATCCAGAACACTCATCTCCAACTAATCAGCAAAAAGCCAGAAGTGGGAGTGTGGCTCATGTGGTATACAGTACAGCCTTAAGCAGAAAAGTACCCAAGCCTTGCATGCAAGCCCCAGGGCCTGCATATGCACACATGCACATAGTCATTTTCCCCCAGCACTCCCCCCCCACACACACACACCAGTGAGACCTCAGACCATGTGCATCTTGAGAGAAGATCACCTGTTGCAGCAGCTTCCGTAGGGTTGTGATGTTCTCCAAAGACAAACAGAAGGCATCTTCATCTTCACACACCACATCTCTTTCGAAGCTAGTGTCTGGAGTGTGTTCCAGTTCTTCCATACACAGGATGATTTGTCTCTTTATGTTCACAAACTCCTCATGTCTAGAGTTCTGCAAAACAAATCTATTATAAGATACCTAGAGGAAGGCCAGCTGGAGATGGAGGTGCAGCAGCAAGTAAGTATACCTTTGTTTCTCGAAGAAACGTCACATGTTTCCTCAGCTGGTTCAGGTCTTCTATGCTGGGAACCAGCATGCTACCAGTGTCATAATGGGGCACGCAAAGAATCTCACACAGCTCTTGATCTTGTTCTTTAAGTAGCTTCAGTTCCTGTTTTCTGTCCTTCTTCTGCTTTCTCATCAATTCAACCTGCGTGCGCAAGTCTTTCTCTAGCTGTAAGATAGTCACTTCTCCTTCCTCCTATTTAAGATAATGTACCTCTGTTAGACTTCCTGCCTGGGGTGGATTCAAACTGTGATCTCAGCCTCTTCAGTAGCTAGGACTACAGGCATGAATCACTAGGGCCCGGCTTGGAACTAATTAGCCATGCAGCCTGTCTTCCCCTCGTCCCATGCTAGCACCATCCTTACAGGGAAGCCTTCTGTCTGCAGTCCCAAAACAATACTTCCCCTAAATGCAGGCTGGATTTTCTGAGACCTCTGCTGTGGGCTGACGTACCTGGAAAGGCTCTACACGTAACTCACTGCACAAGGTGTTTAGCTCCTTCTGACAGACAGATATGCTTTTGATAAGCCTCTCTTTCAGGCTCTCCTCTTCAGCAATCATCCTATCCAGGAGATCCTATAAAAGAAAAAACAGCTCATAAAAGTTTGAGACCTCAACAACAAAACCCTGGTAATTCCGAAATTTCTAGAAAGTACTTAAAAACAAAACCCAAGTGCAGCTGATTAGAAGTCATCTCCGTCCATTCTGGGGAGACACGGAGGCCCTCCCAGCACAAGGCTCTCCACTCACCTTGATATGCTTTTTCACCACCTCCGTTCTTTGCAAGCGCTGGTCTTCTGGAATCCCAATCAGCTCCCATATCTCCCGAAGGTCTACTAGGGCTTTCTGGAGACAGACGACGGACTCCTCGGCCAGCACTTCACTAATACACAAAAAAAAGAAATACCTTTCTTAGCTGGGCGTCGGTGGCTCACGCCTGTCATCCTAGCTACTCAGAAGTCTGAGATCTGAGGATTGTGGTTCAAAGCCAGCTCAGTAAGAAAGTCCATGAGACTCTTATCTCCAATTAACCACCAAAAAATTGGAAGTGGTAATGTGGCTCAACTGGTAAAGTGCTCACCTTGAGACAGTGCCCAGGCCCAGCGTTCAAGCCCCATGAACAAGGGGGGAAAAAAGCCCCAGGACCAGTGCATGTGCACTCGCACGCGCGCGCGCACACGCACACGCACACGCACACACACACACAAAGCTATTTATTGCTGGTAAGAATCTACAAAAAGTTCGGACTGGGAAGGTGGCTCAGTGGTAGAGTACTTGCCTTGCATGCATGAGGCCCTGGGTTCAATTCCTCAGCACCACATAAGCAGGAAAAAAAAAAGCCAGAAGTGGTGCTGTGGCTCAAGTGGTAGAGCGCTAGCCTTGAGCTGAAGATCTGAGGGACAGCACCCAGGCCCAGAGTTCAGGCCCCACGAACGGACCCCCCGCCCCCCCAAAAAAAAGAATCTACAAAAAGTTATCAGAAGCAGGACACGCCAAGCACAATAAGCAAAATGTATATATCTGCTCATATGGAAGCTAAACTTAAAAGACACACATAGCCGGGCACCAGTGGCTCATGCCTATAATCCTACTCGGGGCTGAGATCTGAGGATCAAAGCCAGCCCAGGCAGAAAAGTCCATGAGACTCTTATCTCCAATAAATCACTAGAAAACCGGAAGTGGCACTGTGGCTCAAGCGGTAGAGCACTTGCCTTGAGCTGAAGACCTGAGAGACAGCTCCCAGACCCAGAGTTCAAGCCCCATGACCCACCAAAAACAAAAGACACATATTTGTGGATACATATCTATGTACACACATAATTACATGTGTAGATAAACATACAACATGAATCTGAGGGACTACTATGGAGAAGGACAAGGGAAACGGGGGTAAATAACACTGAACTAAATACTGCATTAAAGAAACAGCTAGCAATTACTATTTTTTGTTCCCATTTTGTGGCAATACCTGGGCTTGAACTCTGGGCCTCGATGCTGTTCCTTAGCTTTTTCACTAAAAGCTGGTGCTCTACCACTTGAGTCACACCTCACTTGAGGTTTTCTGTGGTTAACTGGAGATAAGAGCCTCAGACTTTCCTGCCCAAGCTGGCCTGGAACCTCAATCCTCAGATCTCAGCCTCCTTAGTAGTTAGGATTACAGGTGTGAACCACCAGCACCCAGCTTTTGCTCTTATCCTTAAATTACGACGAGCAGCCCAAAGAATGGCTAAGTTAAAAAGCATCAGGTGCTGGTACAGTATATAAACTAGTACAATCATCTAAAAAAACTGTTGGGAGTGTCTGCAGTTCAACTTCTATGTATGAACGTGAGGAAACGTACACTATGTTCACAGCACTTAACTGCTCAGAACATCATGGAAGTTATCAAGCCTAGGTGTCCACAAACTCAATGCATCAACAACACCACCTTCCTACAGCAGAGTAATACAATGAGCTCAACACTATTCTGAACCATGTCAACTGAAAGAAGCGAAATGCATACACTGTACCATATGGCTCCCCCTTAGGGAATTCTAACTAAACATGTAAAATAAGTTAGTTTTATTGTGTGGAAATTATATTTCAAATCCAACAACAACAAAATTTAGGAGAAACTCAACGGGAGGAGAAACACATTCAATGAGCAAGAGGCCAGACAAGCCAGGGTGATCAATGCAACTTGGTTGATGTTAAGTTCAAATCTAGACAGGGACCAGAGGCTAATACAGGTAAGTCCTAGCTACTTAAGAGGCTGAGATTTGGGGATTGTGGTTCCAAGCCAGTCCAGGCAGGAAAATCCATGAGACTTTATCTCCAGAAAAAGCAAGAAGTGGTGCTAAGGCTCAAGTGGTAGGTAGAGCACTAGTCTTGAGAAGACGACTCAGGAATAGTGCCTAGGCCCTCAGTTAAAGCCCCAGGATGCACAGCAAAAGATAAAATAAAAATCGTTGTACAGTTCCTGTATATGAATTATACAGGATTGTATCTTAAAGCTGTCATTAAAAAAATCCAGCATTGGGGCTGGGAAGGTGGCTCAGTGGTAGAGCGCTTGCCTTGCATGCTCAAGGCCCTGGGTTTGATTCCTCAGCACCACATAAGCAAAAAGAAAAAAAAAAGCCAGAAGTTGCGCTGTGGCTCAAGTGGTAGAGCACTAGCCTTGAGCTGAAGAGCTGAGGGACAGCGCCCAGGCCCAGAGTTCAGGCCCCACGAATATCCAGCATTTGTTGCTGTTTTTGTGTTTTGTCTTGTTCATCTGTCTTTGGGAAGGTAAGGAGAGGCACAGAAGTGGAGGGACAGAGCTGGGGAATGTTGGGAGCCAAAAGTTGAGTCTCTCAACATAATAGGCTTAACTATCTCACTGGAACGTCTTGAGGCTGAGTTTACAGAATCCCACCTTTTCACCATGCCCTAAGTAAACACTCTGCAGCTGCTAAAGACCGACCACCTTTTCACCTGGCCCTAAGCAAACATCCTACAGCTGCTTCAGCCAATGAAAAAGCTTCCTCAACGGCCAATGAAAAAGCTTCCTTAGAGAAGGCTGCAATGCTTGGTAAGAAATGTATGCATTATCCTGCCCATGTAATTGTAACCCCTCTGTACAGTATGTTCTCAAATAAAATAAAATTTAAAAAAAAAAAAGAAAAAGCTTCCTTATTCCAAGCATATAAATACAGCTGTGTGAAAAATAAAATTTAGCAGCAGCAGCTTGATCAGAGTCCCTGTCTTGCTGTCATTCTTCGTGTCTCTTGTCCCTTCCTTCCTCCTCGCTTAGGTGCACTGCTCTCCTTGATGTCCTGCGGGTCGGGACAGGGGAAGGGGTGACACTGGCTGCACCTGACACCACCTCTAAAACAGGAACACTGAGGCCACTTGCAGCCATCACCGTACACTTCACTTGCCTTTGCAAGGCGTTCACACGCGGGCAAGACCTGACCAGCACGAGCCACAGGGCACGCGCACCCGCACCCCGCACCCGCACCCCACAGCGCCCGGGGGACGCCAAGACCCCACAGCCTCTGGGGACAGCCCTCCAACGCCCCACAGCGCCCTGGGGACACCCCTCCAACGCCCCACAGCGCCCTGGGGACGCCGCACCCACAGCCCCGAGGGGCTTCTGGACGCCTGCACGGCCAGCACGGGAGTCGCCGCGCGGTTGGCAGAGGCCGCGGCCCGCGAACCCGAGCCGCCGCGGCCCAGAGGCTCCGCCCGGGATGGGCGGCCCCGCCGTCGCCCGCCCGGCCCCGCGCCCAGCGCCCGCCACGCGGCCGACCCCGCGCGCAGACCCCGGCCCCGGCCCCGGGCCCGGCCCCAGCCTCGGCCCTGCGCCCAGACCCAGACCCCGGCCTCGCCCCCGCGCCCAGCCCCCGCCGCGGCCCCGGCCTCGCCCCCGCGCCCAGCCCCCGCCGCGGCCCCGGCCTCGGCCCCGCGCCCAGCCCCCGCCGCGGCCCCGGCCCCGGCCCCGCGCCCAGCCCCCGCCGCGGCCCCGGCCTCGGCCCCGACCTCGCCCCCGCGCCCAGCCCCCGCCGCAGCCCCCGCGCCCAGCCCCCGCCGCGGCCCCGGCCTCGGCCCCGCGCCCAGCCCCCGCCGCGGCCCCAGCCCGGCCCCGTGCCCAGCCCCCGCCGCGGCCCCGGCCTCGGCCCCGCGCCCAGCCCCCGCCGCGGCCCCGGCCCCGGCCCCGACCTCGCCCCCGCGCCCAGCCCCCGCCGCAGCCCCCGCCGCGGCCTCGGCCCCGGCCCCGCGCCCAGACCCCGCCGCGGCCCCGGCCTCGGCCCCGACCTCGCCCCCGCGCCCAGCCCCCGCCGCAGCCCCCGCGCCCAGCCCCCGCCGCGGCCCCGGCCTCGGCCCCGCGCCCAGCCCCCGCCGCGGCCCCAGCCCGGCCCCGTGCCCAGCCCCCGCCGCGGCCCCGGCCTCGGCCCCGCGCCCAGCCCCCGCCGCGGCCCCGGCCCCGGCCCCGCGCCCAGACCCCGCCGCGGCCCCGGCCTCGGCCCCGACCTCGCCCCCGCGCCCAGCCCCCGCCGCAGCCCCCGCCGCGGCCCCGGCCTCGGCCCCGTGCCCAGCCCCCGCCGCGGCCCCAGCCCGGCCCCGCGCCCAGCCCCCGCCGCGGCCCCAGCCCGGCCCCGTGCCCAGCCCCCGCCGCGGCCCCGGCCCCGCGCCCAGACCCCGCCGCGGCCCCGGCCCCGGCCTCGCCCGCCCCCCCCCTCCCGCCGCGGACTGACGCGGAGGCCCGGCCCCGGCGGCCCCCGACCCCGCGGAGCGCCCGTTCCCTCAGCGAGCGTGGCTTCCCACCGCCCCATACCTTCTCCTCATGGCGGACGCTCCACGCAGCCGGGTCCCGACCTGGGCTCCTCCACACGGACCGAGGGCGCCAGACACCGCCAGCGCCGACGACATCGCTCCGCGGCGGAGGACAGCGCTCAGAAACTATTCCACGAGCCGTTGGGCCCGGCAGAATTTCAAACCCAGCGGAAAGGCGGGGCGGCGCTGCGATTGGTGCGGCGTTCCGTCACTCTTCACAGAACCCACAATGGCCCCGCCCCTCCGGCGTGCGCGGCGACTGCGCAGTGAGGACTCGGCCCGAGAGAGCCCGCGCTCCTGGCGGGGCCGCAGGAGGACGGAGTGCGCGTGCGCACGTCTGCGTGGCAGCGCACGTCCTAGAGCCGGGAGTCCCCGGGGTCCAGGACCGCGCCCGAGCCCCGCCGGCTCCGGTGAAGAGAGGGAGCGCCTCCCGCCGCGGCCGCACTGGCGGGAGCCCGGGGAGCCCGGAGAGAAGGGCGCCGCCCCGGGCTCCAGACGGGCGTCGCCGGAGGGAGCCCGCAGACTCGGGGGCCTGAGACGGCGGGGCCGGGGCCTTCCGGGTCCCGGCCCGCCCTCCCCGCCGCGGCGTCTCCCAACGCGTCCCTGGCACAGCGTGGTGTTGACAAACCGCAGTGGGTTTGTACCGTGGCATTTTTATCACGTGAACTTGCGGGTCCGACACGACACTCGTGACACCTCAGACCCCGACCGGCCCTCGAGGAGGGAGGCGAGGTCCACCGCCGGCCGCCGGGCCCCGCAACCCCCCCCCCCCCCCAAGCCTCACTCTCGCTGGAGCCCGCACCAGACCTCGGTCCCCGCAGGGACGAGAGGACCTCATCCCTCCCAGGAGGAGGGTGTTCCTGCTCCTGGCAGAGCCGCTGTGTGGGCTGTTTTCTGATGACTGGTTCCCAGTGAGAATAGCAAATTCTCGTTTTTTCACCGAAGGTAAAGGACGCTCTGATCTCATTCACCTCTAGGAGTTTTTTTTCCCAGAGGAGTTTCACAAGTGTTTATCATGGGTTCAACTTGTCAGCAGTGTGCCCAACATTCACACCACTGAGGCAAGCCGCAAGGTTTTGTTTTTTGTTGGCCGTGAGGCTTGAACTCAGGGCCTGAGCACTGTCCTTCAGCTCTTCAGCTCAAAGCTAGCTCTCAACCAGTTGAGCCACAGAGCCACTTCAGTTTTCTGCTGGTTAACTGATTAAGAGTCTCACAGCCACCAGGTGCCAGTGGCTTAGGCCTGTCATCCTAGCTAGCTACTCAGGAGGCTGAGAGCTGAGGATCACGGTTCCAAGCCAGCCTGGGCAGGAAAGTCTGTGAAGACTCTGTTCTCCACTAAACCACTAGAAAACGAAGTGGTGCTGTGGCTCAAGCGGTAGAGCACTCACCTTGAGCTGAAGAGTGCAGGGACAGCACCCAGGCCCAGAGTTCAAGTCCCACAACCAAAAAAAAAAAAAAGTCTCACAGCCTTTCCTGCCCAGGCTGGCTTTGAACTGTGATTCTCAGATCTCAGCTTCCTGAGTAGTTAGGATGACAGGCGTGAGCCCGGCAAACAGCATGTTTTTGCACTCACTTGCACTCTTGGTTGCGCCCAGGGATGGAGCAAGTTGCTGTCAGGTGCTGCACACTAGTTCTGAGAGCCACGGCAGGACAGCCATCAGGGCATGCACACAGCATGGAAACCTGGCAGCATGGCTGTGTGCAACGCTGTCACAGGGCCCTCTTGCCTTTCCAGTGGCAATGTTGTGGAGTGTACGTGCCGTGCCTGGTACAACTTATCTGCATCTCTGCGCAAGCATTCTGATGCCGCACATTCCTTCTGTGAACAGCCTTTCCAATAATGTCTTTTGGTCTTTCATGCTAGAACATGGAACACTCAGCTAGAAGCCAGGTGTGGTGACACCTGTCATCAGGGACTCAAAGTGGGGGGTGGGGGGAAGGTTTGGTTTACTAGTTTATTCTAGACAAGCTGAGTTTGTGGAGTGACAAGTAGCAGGTACTAATGTGACCCTTGGGAGTGAAACTTGAAATTTGGAATTAGCTGAGGAGGAGGAGGGGAGAAGCAACAGGCAGGACAGTCAGAGCAGAGAGGAGCCACTAGAGAAAGCAGAAATGAAAACTAGACTATGTGAAGACAAAAATGAGTATCACAGGAGCGAACACGAGGGTTTCAAGGAAGCACCTGTTAGCAGATGTGCCGCACCTGTTAGCAGATATGCCACACCTGTGTCTAGATGTTCACTGTCTTTCTAGCTCAGGCCTGTAATCCTAGCTACTCAGGAGGCTGAGATCTGAGGATCACGGTTCAAAGCCAACCCAGGCAGTAAAGTCTGTGAAACTCCTATCTCCAATGAACCATCAGAAAACCTGCAGTGGCGCTGTGGCTCAAGAGGTAGAACGCTTGCCTTGAGCTGAAGAGCTCAGAGTTCAAGCCCCATGACTGACCAAAAACAAAGGGGGAAGGGTGTTAGGGAGAAGGGCGGTGACCAGAGAGACTGAGTTGTCAGAAAAGGCCTAAGAAGTGTCCACTAATAACTGCGGTTGTATCTCATAATCCCGGGAAGATTAAGGTGGGGAAGGCAGTCAATGAGAGCAATGAGCAATGAGGAGCCTCACAGGAACCCAGCGGTCGCGGGCATCTCTGGTGAAGAGCACATCCAGAGCCTGACAGATGTCGCCTACAGAGTCTTTATTTACAGTGACGCTTGAGCAGGGTTTACCAAGGGACTCCTCTTCCCCCAATCTTAGCAGCATGGCCTGTATTTCACAGACAAAAGGAAGAACACCCCAGGGGAGGTTGTGACCTCTCCTTAGATCTCCCAAGTCTCCGTAAGTCCCATAAGTCCCATGGTGCTCCGCTCCGGGCAGGTGTGGCAGCGGGGCGCCGGCGCCAGGCAGCATGGCCTGGCAAGCCTTCAGGCTCTCACCTCACTCATGGCCTCCATAAGGCGAGCACTGTTGGTGACAGCTGTGGTCAGGAAAAGGAACCTGTACCCTGAGGAGCCAAGAGGAGTGGGAAAAGTGACCAAGAGCAGGTGCACGGGCCCCTCCAAACCCAGTGCCTGCAGCTCACAGCACCGGCGCACAGACACGTTACTGCTAGGCCCTGAGTACCCCAGCTCGCCAGGCTCGGGGGCTCCCTGCTGGCAACACTGTGAGGCAGAAGGAAAGCCTTCCAGTGTGGGGGGGCCTGCAGCCACCTCGTGTTCTTACCCTTCTCTCTGCCCAGGAACCGCAGGGCTGAGATCTCAGAGAACGTGCAGCCACCCAGGAACACCACCAAGATGAGGCGCAGGGACTCGCTGGAAGCCTTGTCTTCCTTGGCCATGTCTGAGCAGGGAAGATTCCACGTTCACTGACACAGAGCTAGGTGATGCATCCTGCCCAGCCCCGGCCGGCAATGCCACCCACCTGTGAACGCAAACTCGCCGCAGTTAAGCAGTCGCACCACCTCCTCCAGCCCCTGCCAGCTCCGCCGCTCCAGCACCTGGGAAGGCGGGAACGCTGGCTCAGGTCTGCCGCCGGCCAGGCCAGCAGGCTGTGGTCAGTGTTAGCACGGGTCAGGGGCCGAGGGTGCAGGAGCAAACGTTATTCCTACCTGCTCGATGATCCGGCAGCTCAGGGGCACGTAGGCACCACTGAAGACGTACGCCATGTCCCGGGGCACTTTCAGGTCATACTCCCCGTCCACGCGAGGGATCTGGAGGCGGAGGTACAACATTAGCCAAGTGACGCTCAGCTCTCCAACTCCTCAGAGGGTGGGGTATGAACAAAAGCAGTACAAACTATAGTTCTTATTCCAACAAGGAGAACATGGGACGGTGCTGGAAAAAGGCATCCGTAACCAAGATGGCCGCTTGTGTTCAATTCCCCAGTACCCCAAATGTGCATCTGCCCCCCACTGTGATGCTCTGAGAAGGAGGGGGAGGTCTCTTCCAGTCCCTCCAGGGCGCATAGAAGCCCATACTTCCAATCCTCTGGAGTTTGGCAGGTACTTGCTACTGTGTATCTTTGTTCTTACTGTTCAACTGAACTCATGTTACAAGTCCACCAAACAAGGAATTCTCCTACCAATACAACACCACAAAGGTCTACTTATTCCGGAGGAATGAATTAGGAGAGGAATGACCTGTAGCCGCCCCTACAGCCCTGCTCCACATACCAAATTCAGCTTCTTGCTGATGGCGCGGAAGTTGCTCCTCTTGGCCAGGGAACTGAAGGCGTCGGTAATCTTTCCTGGGAACGAGAGCAGCGCTAGGAACTGTGTGAGGTGCAGCGATGTGTGGTGTCGCGGAAGCCACCCGGTTAGGACAAGACAGCCCGGCGGAAGCTGCTCGCCTCCTCCCACTCCCCACTCCCCTCCCGTCTGGCGGTCTCATCTGCCTACCACGTGCAGTCTACAGGATGATACAGGACGACCCAAGTTTCTGGGTTAAACAACGGACCTTTGCAGTCCAACGGACCTGACTAACTGAACTGAGGGACTTTGGCCAAGCCATTTAATTTCTGCCAGCCTCAGTTTCCTCATCTGTGAAAGGAGGAAAGAGAAAACTCGCCTCACCGAGTCTCCGTGAGGATTAAATGAGAATGTGCGTGCGGTGAGCGCGCGCTAAGTGGCTGTCCTCACACCAGCGCTCTGCCTGTGTGGGACAGGACAAGCTCCCAGGGGAGGGGCGGCACCCCTGCGCTCCCTGCTCACCGGCGGCCTTGTCGGTCACGAGCTTGCTCACTTTGCTCTCCACGGCCGTGAGCGCGTCCCCTGGGGCCTGCTCTGTCAGGAGCCCAGCTCGCCGCAGGTTGGAGAAGGTCAGCAGGTGTTCGGGGCCATAGCTCTGAAGGAAATGCAAGTCAGCTCCGTGAATGCAGCCGGAGTCCGGCAGGGCTGGTGATTCAGTGCATGCTTACCTGCATGTACTGGGTTTTCAGAGATCGGTAATCCTTGGGAATCAAACCTGATGGTGAGGAAAACAAAGGAATAAACAGTTTAGAGAAAGAAGAAAATGACCAGGCAGGTGGTTTGCGCCTGTCATCCCAGATACTCAGAAGGCTGAGAGCTTGAGGACCACAGTTCTTGGCCAGGTAAGCCAGAAAAGTCTACAAGACTCCATAACCAAAATA